TCTACTTTTTAGTTGGTAAATATTGCCCTTTTGGGTAGCCACTGATTTTTAAAGGTATATGTTTTTGTCACCTTTTTTCCCTTTCTCTATGACCACACACCAAACAAGAACAAATTAGAGAAGGAAAAGTTTATCTGGGGCTCATAGTTTAGAGGTCTCAGTTCATAAATGGCCAGTTCCACTGCTCTGGGCCCCGGGTGAAGTAACACATCATGGGGAATGGACCCAGAAGAAAGTTGCTCAACTCCTAACTGATTCAGTTACAGATCTCACAGTCTAATTATTTCACCTCAGATTAGCCCTGAGTTAACAGGTGATTTGGAAAGATACCTCATATCCAAACCACGTCGATGTATTTTACAATTAGCCACCTTACTGAAATCTCTTATTAGCTACTTTAGGTTTTAGTTGATTCAATTGTGTACACTTTTTTTAAAAAATCAAGGTTCGACTCTCTGATTATTGATTACTGTGTGAAAAATTTTAGTTTGGCGTATGGATTAAATGATAGTTTATTATTTTTTTAAAAATTTTCATTTTACAAGAACAAGAGGACATGAAATTGAAGCCACTCGAAAAATCCAAAACATAAGATATGTTCATGTGTTGAACTACGTTAATTTCCTTTGGGCACAATCTTGCTGTACAAAACTACCAGAAAAGGGTTCTCAACTAGAGACATCAAGTTACTTCTCCCTTGGATAAAACATATTAAACAATAAAACAACTAAGATTTTTGACAGAAATACACCAGAAACTTGTTCTCATATAAAGATAATTTCTCTCCTACTTTACCCTCAAAGGCAACAGCCAAGATGATTATAAAAACAGAACAGAGCTCATCCAGATATATTCAGAAAGAAATCGTATGCTGTTCTACACATGAGTAGATTCCTTTTCCCTAGATAGGCTTCTTATTTTAAAAGATCACAATAATAATAACTATTGATTATTGATTTATCAAAATAATTATTTTTTTCTAATAAATATAGGGTTCCATGTTACTGGGAAAAATTGGGGAGCTATAGTAATGGTTATAAATAGGAACTAAAAAACTAAATAGGAACAAAGAGAATTGGTGTATAACAGAAGCACAATAAATAAATAATTGTATTATATTTTATTATATATGATTATTATTTATTATTCTTGATTTCCAAAAGTTAAAAAGTATAGTTCCCCATTGTTTTCTCAGGACCCACCATGACAAATATACCCTTACAACATATATTTGCAGAATAGTTGTTGACTGATATGTTTTTACAAAAACCTCAGTTGCCAGAAAATATTTTGACTTGATTCTTAAATGCTAACCTAAAATCAATTCCTAGAAGGTACACTTATTAAAGTCAAAAATACTCCCATTTGAAGTCAGAATGAAGTTCTAATTTGCTCTTTTTATGCTAGTAAAAACACTTCAAAAAGTATAAATTGGCACAGGAAAATGCAGTAAGACATATTATTCATTCTTTCATTCACCAAACATTGATTGAGCATCTTTTGCATACAAGACACAAAATGAACAGATATGACAGAGTTTAGAGGCATTAAATAGTCAAACAAATAAATAGGAAATTATAATAGGAGGTATGTGCTATGGACGAAAAGAAATGATGAAGATTTGGATTGGTAAGGAAGAGAGGCCAAGGATGTCCAAAAGATAAGTGTGGGTTGGACTGGCAAAACATAGGAAGTAGGGCTTTGAATGTTAAAAAATAAAAAATAAGAGGTTACTGTAACAGCAGCAAGAGGAAAAGATGTCCAGGAAAAGTCTGCCCAAGTACCTGGGACTCTCAGAGTCTTTAGAAATTGTCTCAGGTGTATGAATAGTTTTTATGAAGGGAACTGAAATGATCCTATATTGTCCAGGTGAACCAGGAAGCAGGAGTCTGGTTAGGAAGTTATGCTAGTGATCCAGGTGAGCTATAATGATTTGAAGTTCAACAATGGTGAAAGGGGATGGAAAGATGAACCCACGAAGATCAGTTTAGAGATACAGATAGAAGGTGGACTTTCTAAGACTATGATGGTTTGGGGCATGGAGGGTAAAGGTAACAGAAGAGTCAGAGATTATCCTTGAATTTCTGGCAAGAGCAACTCCATGGACAGTGGTACCATTCACAAAGATACAAAAGACTAGAAAAAGTGTTAGGTTTACTGTTATTGTTCCTGGTGTTTGTTTTGCATTGTTTTTGTACGGTATCAAAAAGGGTGGAAAGCAGCATCAACAAATCAGTTTGGGACAGAGAACATTTGGGATACCTGAGAAGACCCAAGTCCTGGATTGTCTCAGTTTAGGGATAATGACATACAGGTGACATATGAATGAGGTCCCTATGAACCCTGCTATTTCCTACCATAATTGGGAATGTAAAGCTTCAAATACGTTAGCTGGATTACATAACAAAGTTTTTTTCTGAACCCATGTTATTCAATCTTTACTTTCTGTTCTATGCTGACATAATATTAATGCTGTCTTTATCACTACGGATGTTGGTATACTGGACTGAACAGTGCCTTTCCAAAATTCATACCCACCCAGAACCAGTAAATGTGACTTTATTTGGGAATCAGATCTTTCCAGATGTAATCAACTTAAAATGAAGTCATACTGAATTAGGGTGGGTCTAAATTCAACATGAATGATGTCTTTATATAAAGGGGGAAATTGGGCATAGGGACACAGAGAGAAGACGCCATGTAAAGTTGGAGGCAGAGATTGGATTTATATTGTCACAACCAAGGAACACCTCAAGCTACCAGATTCTGAAAGTGGCTGAAAGATTTTCTCTGAAAGAGAAAATCCCCTCCTAGCAGTCTCAGAGGGAATATGACCCTGCCAACACCTTGATTTTGGACTTCTAGCCTTCAGACCTGTAAGAGAATAAATTTCTGTTATTTTAAGCCACCCAGTTTTGGGTAATTTGTTATATCAATTCCAGGAAACTAAAATAGTTGAAAGGATCTAAATAAATCCACATTTGAACGTGACTTGTATAATAAGGGGCATATAGTATGGGTTCAATAAACATATATTGCCCTTCTCCTAAAGGGCACTGCTATTTTTTTTTTTTTTTTGGTGGTTTATGAAAGATAAACACATTCAGAAAGGTCCTACTATTCCTGAGCCTGTTTCACAGATGGAGAAAGTGAGGGTTAGGAAACTTAAATAGCTTGCCTAAATGGCAAAGCTAAACATGGAACTTCTATCTCAGTTCTATGTCATCACCAAGTTGACCCCATACCCCCAAAACACCTGCCTCTTCTAACTGCAGCATTCAGCAAACTCCAAGAGAGTGAAGGAGAGGTGCTGCCAAATTGGATTTTCAATGTCTGCAATTAAAACCCATATTAATGAAATAACAAGTTGCAGAGATCTGGTACAGTAGAGCTTTACCTATTCACAGAGGAACCCCCATTTTTTTTTATTATAAGGTCAGTACCATCAATGAACCTGTCATCAACTCCTATTGCTTCCATGAGCACTGCTTCTGCTTTGCACACATATATTCCAAGTCAAGGTATCATCATCATCAGACTGACCATTATGGCTTTAATTTATTTAAATGCGTTTTCCTCATGCAGTTCCCATTTCGTTTTGATGATACTGACTCATTCTTGCCACCTAACAAGACTATAAAAATAAATAGTGTAAGTGCAGAGGAAAGTATCTCTAAACTTCATATTCACAGACTGATGCCCACCCTTCATATTATAAAGAAAAAATAAAGGCATGTTCTAAATTTACCTTTCCTCTCTAACTCAGTGGGTTGTGCTGCTGAATATAACACATATACAAATGTAAGGTGGGGTTATAGAATGCAAAAATTCATAGAATTCTTGTGTAGGAGGGGCTTCTACATAGAGTATGTTCTCCATAAGGATTCAGGTAAGAGAAACTGCACACTACCAAATCTAAGAAGAGAGAAGGATGTTTTAAAACATTTATGAGTTACCTAAGACCCTGTGACAGTTTCTTGGTAGAGCACTGTGGAATGCCCACGTTTACCCATTTCCACAAAAGTATATTCAGTCTTCCAGGCTGTCATCAACTATCAACAACACTCTCCTCTGGTATAGTGCCAATTTCTATTTTTCTTTATTACTTTGGCCTTAAAAAGACCACCACAAATAGCCCAAGGCTTCAAATTCTCCTAATTGGGATCTAATGTTGGCAATTAACTCACATCCCATGTTTAAAACATCAGGGAACACCGCCTCCCCCTCCCCACACACTCCGCTTTAAGGATAATCACACTTCTTCAAACTGGGCACTGATGATCCCCAGACTTTTCAAGTTTACCCTCCAGGAGGCTGACATGGCACACAATTTTGACAAGAGTTAAGAACGGAGATCCTTTTCCACACTCTGCCCACAACGGTGCCCACAAGCAGAAGTTCTTTTTCTTTCTCTATTACAAACCACCACGCGCGCACAGGCACACCAAGGCAAATAACAAAGGAAAACACAGCCCCATAGAGGCTCAGCTACTGCATCTTGCAGTCCACACCTGCCAAAAGACAAAAACCATATAAAATCCTGCCCTGGCATCATATCCAACACTCCTCCGGAGAAGCAAGCACCGTGGCACACCACCCCCACGGCCCGGCGTGAGCGGCTGTATACACAAAGAACTGGTGCTGGGCTTGCTAGCAGTTCGGGGTACCAGCGCGCTTCCAGGGCTGGTATCAGGGGTTCTCTCCCACGCCCTCCAGCCCAGCAGAAAAGAACTATCCTTTATTTGACCGGTACAGAGCTTAGGTTGGATGGGAGAGCATGGGTTGGGGGTGGGCGGTCCCCAGATCCCTTCCCTCTGGACAGCGGGTCCCTCGCCTTTGGCATCTCCTAGGAGATGCAAAATTGTGCTGTCAGAGAGGTCCCCTTCTCATCGTCTTCGGGCAAAGCAAGATGCCCTGGGTACCAGCCGTGCGCATCCCTGCGAACGCCTCTCCTGGCACCGATATCCACCCAGGCAGCCCTTCCAGGCGCGCCTGCCTACCTGGTGGCTGGCTGTCAGCGAAGCGGCAGTGGCTCATCCCCTTCTCCTCCACTGCTACATGGCTCCGAGCGCCATGTTCCTGGTCTCCCCGGGCGCACGCTGGGGAACTACTACCGCTGGGTAGGGGCAAGGGGGGCGGGGGCTGAAAGGAGGGTGGGGGGCAGAGCCAAAGCTTTCTACTCTCCACCCAAACCTCCCCCAGCTACTGAGCATGCCCAGCTGCCTGGCTTCGCCCCTAGGAGGACTGTCCACGAGCACACGCAGCTGCTCCGGGTTTTCGCGGCAGCCGGCTGGAAGCAGGCTGTAGCAGCTGCGGGGGGTGTGGAGGTGGGGAGTGTGGCGGGAGTGTCTACACTCCGGAGCTGGAGAAAGCAGCCAATCCAATCACACTTTCTTTCTGACCTCCCCGCGGGGGCAACTTCTGCACGCCCGGTCCCCACACACTCGAGATTTGCCAAAATTTTGTGCAGGACTACTGCAAGGGCTGAGCTTTGCTTAAGGGGCAAGCAAAGGTGGGTAGGCGGGGAGGGGCTGAGAGGCAGATAGGTTTGCCACCATCTTTACCAACACCAGGACCGGGGCTTCACAAACTTTAATAAGCCTGTGAATTAAAACACAAATTCGGATTCAATTGGTTGGGGCCTGAGATTCTGCAAACCAAACTTCTCAGGTGATGTTGGTGCCCTGCTGCTGGCCCTCCTATTGCTCAGAGAAACCCCCATCCGTGACTTCGGAGTGATCATATCCTTCAATCAGCCAGCCCAGAAAGGATCTCTGGTGTACAGAGACCCCTCCTGCCTGGCGTGGCAACTCAAGTGAAGGTGTCCCTGGGGTTGCTACCCCTTTTCTGAAACGAAGTTCAGTAAGGTCAGAGTGACTTCGTACACAAACTGGTGAATTTGTGATTTCGAATGTGGTGCCTAGGGAAAGGTGAGTTCCTGGACCACTTCATGCTCACTTTGCTAGTTCACTAGTAAACTCATTGTTAGGAACTGTTTCACTCAAGACTGAACAAGTGTGTCTTGCAGATACCTGTGCCTTTCCTGAGCAGAGACAAAAACTCAACATACATCGAAGTGTTAATTTATTGCACATGTAACATCAAGGTTGGGCTTGTCCATGTGAAGAGACTGACAGATTATGAGCACAAGTAGGGTGTTTGGGGACCAAGAGATGACAGGTTTTGTTTTTGTTTTGTTGTTGTTGTTGTCGTTGTTTTGTTATTGAACGAGTTTGGACTGAAGCTTGCAATGATGTCTTGTGTTTCAATTATAATCCCCCAGTTGTCTATACCCTTCTCAAACCCTTGAAGTCTCCAGCAATATCAAGAATATTTACCGACCACACTATGGGGAGAGAGACAGAGACAAAACCAGCCAGGAGGTTTCAACCTAGGAAATGGAGAAGTCACGTGCCTGTCCATCCTCAGCTATCCCAAGAGTACCCTTATAAACTAATGCATGTAGTATCTAATTCTATCATTGATCAGCAGAGTACAAAATAAGGATTTTTATCTCCTCATACCCTATTTTATTCAATAGCCTTATACAGTTTTCTGGCTAATAGTATGATATTCATCATTTCTCCCTTGTTGGTTTTCCATTCATTCATACTCCAATGTAGTAGCTGCCATATCAAAATAGGAACTGTAAGATGAGTGAATGATTACTTTTCTCCCCAAATATTCCTAAGTATAAAGAAGAAATATGTCCTGGTATATCATATGCTATCATTCTATTTAAAAGAAATGAGTCTCTAAATCCATCACTTTATCTTCAAAATTGCTCACATAGTGCTAAATTGTACTCCCCAACCCCATTTCCACCCTCATGTTATTTGTATAAATATTTTCTATTTTTTTATTTTCTTATATGTTCATTCATATATATGCAACAACCAAAAACATTTTTGTTACTATGCAGTTATTGATTGGTTGGTATCAATTAAAATTTTGACTTGAATTATTGAACTTCAATCATTTATAAGAGTCCCTGTTGTATTTAAATGTGTTCATGCAGTTGTTTCTACTGCTTAAATACAATGACTTGTTAGTTGCCTCAAATTCATTTAAGAGGTCCAGAAAACAAAAATTGCAGATGCATATAATACTTTTTCTAATACTGCATTGCATAAAATCGTAAGATTTTTTTGTGCATAGTATGTCATTTCTTCAGAGTTTAGCATGCAGAATACAGATTAAGAACCAACACTTGTAGGTGGGAAATATCAGAAACAGGAGAGGGCAGAGGGAGAAGCCAAGCAGGCAAACAGTCTTGACCATCCCCTCAGGAAGCTTGGGAGCAAAGGAAACCCTTCAGAACTGCTCTGAGTTGGTCTGACATGGTTGGTTCTTTGTATCTCCATATCAATCATTGAGTATGGGCTGCTCCTGAAACAGGCATGAACTTGAGACAGGACATTGTCTGAAAATGTAGCAATCCCTAAAGAGGATGACAGCTGATGGTATTCTGTCAACAGTAGTTCCTGTAGCTGAGGTAATAAGACTTTCCCTTAAGGGATATCTGGGCAAAATATTACTTTATCCACCACACTAATGTAGGGGCCATGTCAAAATAGGAACTGTAGGATGAGTAGATACTGAATATAGCACTTTTGAATACACAAAGTAGTACTCTGCTGATTTGTCAAAAGGATTAAAAAGCTTTATTTTTAAGTAAATAATTGACTTTCTCTGGCTCAGAAATTTTAAAGTTACAAAATAACCTATAATCAGCAATGGAGAATATATTATCTATTAAAGTATCTAGCTATTTTTGTATATGACGTGTTTAATTATGATTTACTAAGTTGATATGTATTGTTCTTTAAGACATGGTTTTCCCTACTAACAAAAAATAATCTATTTTTGTCATTTGTAATTTGAGGGGAAAATAATTGTTGTTAAATAAGAGAATATTTTTCAATAAAATAAAGCATCTGACTAGTCAATATTTCATGAGAAACTAATTTCAACCTACCTTATTACCATTAAAAACTGTAAAATGGGGAAGAGTACTTAGGAGAGTGGGGGAGGGACATATTAAAGGCAACACACTGGAATCAAGGTCTGTACTGCCTCAGTTTATTTTCTTAATCCTTCTCCATGCTTTCCAACATCCAATAACAGCTGGATTATCTGAAAAATGAATCATGATCATACTGGAACCAACCAGAGAGGCATGGGACATTTGCTTAGATACTGGAGGAGAAGAAGTAAGAAATGAATGTTTCAGGAAACATAAACAAAAACACAAGAAGAATAGGTATCTAAAGAATCGCTCTCAGGAAAGAGAAGAAAAGTTTTACAAATATTTTCCCATAGTTTCCATCAAAGGAAAGATAATGTAATTTAAACAATGTATTTTTAAAAACAAGACACAACACACATACATACACACAAATTCAAAGAAGAGGTAAGACCAAAATGAATGAGAAACTGTGGGGGGGGGGGGGCACGGGGGAAGCGTGAAACTGAAATCATTAAATAGTTAAATAGAAAAATATAGGAAATAAAGACTAAACATAACTGAAAACACAGTGATAGATGGACAGGCACAGAGCCACTAACCAATAAATTATAAAACCAAGTATAAGAAAATTACATTGAAGACAAAGGAGATCCAATACACGCACAACCTCTGCTGGTACCAGCTTGCAAGTTGGTGGGGCATAACTCTTCCTTACTTGGTTTAAGAAACATCACACTGGTAGCTTGAAATTATCTATTGTAGAAGTTTTTATACCATGTAAATTGACAAACACCATAAACTAGGGGATTTTGTTTGTTTTCAGATAACTGGTCTTTACACATTTACCAGAATACTAGTTTTTACAACCTTTGCTATTAAGGAAAAAAAAGGAATAAAATGAAAGAAAAAGAAAGAAAAATAGAAATATAGAAGTCTATTTTCTGAAATAAAGTATATTAGTTCTGCAAAATAAAAAGAACACAATTGTCTCCTGGAAAAAATAACCAATACAGAAAAATTAATGTCAAAATACATTGTGATCAAGTTATGGAGTCTTAGAGACAAATTATGTTTAGGATATCTAGGCAACTTACATATAAGAAAAAGAAAATTAGGCTATATTTAAATTTTTTCACAGCATCAAACAGTGGCCAAGAGAAAGAAAGGGTGATTCAAGAATGCTTGCTTTGCCTGTTCTGTTATTTAGGTTTTTAAGTCAACAGTCAATTATTCTCAAACGTATAGTACATCAAGATATACAGCAGATATAAACCCCACAAAATTATACTTAAGAAATTGACACAACGAAAAGATATTTTTTATATCTTTTGAGTGGCAAGTCCGTGGTCAAATGTTAGGATTATCATATGTATTTAAAAATAAATCTAAGACTTAAAAATTGTGTTTGAGGGGTTTGAGACAGAACATAAATATTATAAATTTGAACAACATAGATCTTATTGCACATCTCACTAAAATGAGTAAGTAGAAAGAGGACAATTATGAAGGAATTTAAAAACAACAATTTCCTCAAATTTTCTTTCAGCATGAGAGCAATAGATATTATTAAAGTTAAAACATGTAGATCCATCTCCCCCAATACTTTTTGACATTTAATTTTCTTATGTTTAAGGTAATGTTTTATAAACATCTCTCTGTGGGGGAAAACATTTTTTTAAGTTTAGAAATTACTACTGACACATTTTAACTACTTTTTATTTAATTTTAATAAGATTAAGCACAATTTAGTCTTAAAATAACATATATGGTGCCATTCATATGGGAAAAGCATTTCTACCAATTTATCACAATTGTTATAACCTTACATTTTATCTGTCTCAATAGGAGGATTTGTGGAATATTATAACCCAGGGACTTTATGATGGAAAGATATTTGGTTGATTGTTTACTTCTTTTCTTTATTTTTTAAAATTAAAAAAATAATAATTTGTTTTAATTTGTTCTAATTAGGTATACATGACAGTAAAATGCATGTTGACACATTGTACACAAAAGGAGCACAATTTCTCAATCCTCTCACTGTACATGGTACAGATGCACATCAGTAGTGTAGTCATACGTGTATATAGGGTAATAATGGCCATATCATTCCATGGTCCTTCCCAGTCACACACCCCCTCCCCAACCGTCCCCACACTCTGCTCAATCCAAAGTTCCTTTATTCTTTCCTACCACTACCCCTATTAGGGATCAACATCAGCTTATCAGAGAAAACATCTGGCCTTTGGTTTGAGGGGTTTGGCTTATTTCCCTTAGCATAATATTCTCTAGCTCCATCCATTTACTAGCAAATGCCATAATTT